TAATTTGAATACTTTATTTTATTTATTTAGAAATTTAAGAAAATTTTTACATGTTATTAAATTAAATGTGTTTTAATAAAAAATTTTAAGTTTTCGAAAAAGTAATTTTTTTGAAGTTCACTGAAATTTTTAGTAATTATGTTTTATAATTTTAAACCATTGACAATACCAATTTCTTCCCTGCTCTATTGATTGATAACTTCAGTAAAAATAACTAGTCTTTTTAGTTTTGCGACGATGTACTTCGCAATTCTTTACGTAAAATGACTTAAATTTCCAGTTGATTAATATCAACTGTTAACATAACTTATAACATGTTATAAGTAAAACATGTTTATTAAAATTATTCTATTTTTAACTGATCCAATTAACTAATTTTAACAATTTTGTTGCTTTTTTGAAGTAAGTACCATCAAAACACACCAATCTGTCATCACCAAACAAATCGATAAATGAATACTTATTTTTTGATGCAATATTGCTCATGTAATTAAACAAAGGAGTTCCAAGTAAACTACCCTGTAAAACCCCTATATCTTATATTAATTCACTAGATTCTTCATTCTTGATTTTGACTACTTGAGTCACACCACTTCCAACTTTATCTACAATTGCTCTATAACTATAGCCCTCTTTTTGCAGAGTGATTGCAGTTGTTCTTTTTTTAAGTGACCAATCAGTCCTTTTAATATTGTTGTCTTAATTGCTTATATGTTAAAGATTTCTTATTAAAAAGGTATTATAAAGATCTTTTCATAAAATTGAAATAAGAAATTACAGTGTAACAAAAAAAAAACTACAGTAAATATGAGCGAAAATAAGCTAAATTAATTTTGCACTTTTATTCTTTTATTTTTTATCTAATTACTTAACTAAATAAAATTTATAGCTTTATACTTACTGTAGAGTACAATGGTAGAATGCAATGGAATTTGGCAAGAAATATCAAATGTTGTAAAAATAATCAAAAAAATAATTAGTTACTAATGTATACAACCATATCCAACCAAATATACTGATTAAACAAAAAATGCTAAGTGTGTCCACAATTTTGTCCACAAGTGTATTTGTTGATAAAGTTGTCTGAGCGTCTAGTATCTATTAATGCAGAAAATATTTGCCCATTTATTTCCACCTTCCGAATTGCATATAAGAGGCAGTTAGAGACCCAAGCACTTATCATTGCTAATATATATTGTCCGACTTGGTAACAGCTAATTATCTATTTGATTTATATACATTAGCAAAATAACTTTATTTTTGTCAAGAGAGATTAAAGCAGCCTCCTCAACTCTAGTGGCCTTCTCGGTCTTGGGGAGATGAATTAACATTAAAAAGATATATATGTATATTAAATCATTCTAAATGTTTTTATTTAATAATGAGTAATTAATTTTATGTAAGTTCAGTCTATTAGTATTGAGATTTGTTGCATCTTCTCATCATCACTAATCACTAATTTATTATTTTAATCCTTTTTACAATTTCAACTCCATCTTTCAAATTGTTATATTGATCTTTTAAAACTAATAATTTAATTTATTTAGAGCTATTATATCAAAATCTTTATTTCGTCATAACAATATCAGCTTTAGCGTGAGGAACAATATTGATTTTGCTGGGTTTTTTTTATGAAGCATGCAAGTTTTAGATTAAATCTTGCTTGTAGGCTCTTTATTTGAGGAATTAATTACAACTTTTTACCATATCAACTTTATCAAAGAAGTTGATAGTTATGAATACGGTTGGCCAATCAATATGACATCAAGATGACATCCTGAAAATCTAGATAATGTAGGAATCTAGAAAAATCTAAAAAATCTAGAAAATCTAGAAATCTTGAACTTCAAACTACATATTAAAAGTAATAACAGATTTTACTAAAAAATTATGTTTTGTAACAGAATTGTTTTGCCTTTGAATGGATAATATATTTAAACAGGAATTATGTAATGATAAAATTTTTGTAAAAAAAATAAATTTTCAAAAATTAGGAAAAAATCAGAAGATAATTGAAAATCTTTTTCATCTTAAAACTTTTTACAATTTTGACTCTATTATTGTATTGTCATATTGATCAATTAAAAAGATCAAGATGACAATATCTTGATAAAAGTAAAAATAAAAACAAACTTTTTCTTCTTTCTTCTTTTTTTTTTTGCTTTTATTTTTATTTTGTACTCTTCTTACAAAATTCTTTTGATTGTTTTCCAGAATTTTTGCATTTAATATTTATTTTTCTCTCATTTTAGGCTGCTATATATCTATAATCTTTGTCAGCTGCCCCTCTCTTTTTATTTCTTCAAACTTATTCTCATCATGATTATATATATCTTTAACCTTTAATATTATTGTTGTTTTTTGATGTTTAGATTGGTATTGTTATATTAATCAAAGAAGTTCCAAAAGGACTACAACTTTGAATCAATATTTTTTTTTTGGTCTCTAGTGCCCAGGAGCTGTAAAAGTGTTGAGTGATTTATGATCTGCAATAAAAAAATAAATTTCATGAGATTTTGTGTCTTTAAACCTATGAATTTTTAGCTCAGAGTCCTGGAGTCTTTGCCACCATTACATATAAAGATTCTCGGCTTGTTAGGATTGTTCCTCTAACATATGAGTCTTAATTTTTTTTCCAAACATAATTCATAAGATTCTTTACGTTTTTGGAGCTCCTAGATATCAAAAACTGGGAAGAAATAATCATTATGTGACTTCTAAATCCGGAATTCTTTTTGTGGCTCTGCATTCCTGATAAATAATGTTGTACTTGTTGCTGTTGTAATTGTTGCTTATTGTATTTTCATTATATTATTATTATTGTTATTGTTACTATTATTACTTTAGTTAATATGGTTACTAAGTAGTAATAATAATATCTAATAATAGTAATGTTATTAGGTATTATTCTTATTGTTATTACTTTAATTGTTATAATTATTTTTTATTTGATCTTACTACCATTATTTTTACTACTACTGCTATTATTATTACTGTTAATTATTTTTTACTATTACTGATATTATTATTATATTGTTAGTAATATCATTAATCTTATATTAGTATATTCATTTAATATATTTTATTTATATTATTTCGAGTTATAGGTTGTCTTGGTTGTCTAAAATCTAATATTTAAATAATGACCATAAGTATTGAAAGTTACATGAACAAGGGATTTTTCTTTGTTAACAGTATGAATTAAGTTAATCTTCAGTATCACTTTGATGATCAATGTTAAAATGCTTAAACAACTTGTATAGGTTTATATTGTAGCATAACTTATATATGCATATATGACTTATCCAATATAAGCCTTCCTATAAAACTATCAATATTGCAGTTATTTTGACATTTTAGTTTTACAAGAAATGTAGTCAAATAGATAGTGTTGCTATGAGTTCCAAGGTCAAACATCCACTGTAATGGTTTAGTTATAACAATAAATCTTTCCAAGTTTAACTATTATTTAAAAATAAATAAATTGATAGGCTGTGCCATATAACCTTCCAGTTTTCATAAAAAAGTTTAAGACTTTATGCCTCTTATTGTATCTTTACTTATTTTGACCATAAAGTTTGTTTTATTTTATTCTTATTCGATAGAGTTCTAAAATACAACAATGTATACAACTGTTTAAACAAAAACATTTTTCTTTTTTTATTCAATTCAACTCAAATTTTTTTCAATCTATAGAACAAGTAATCTTAAAATATATTTATATTGTTAAAATATCAGATTTGAACAAAAAATTTGAGCTCTATTGTTTAAAGCATTGTAAGTTAGTTTTTGTGCATTTAGTAATTTATTTAATTGTATTTTGCAATGATAATTTCTTTTTTTATAAATTTTAAATCACTTGTTGTTAAGAAGTTCAGGATTTCATTCATGTTGTATTGTATATATCTGAAAGTTTTAGGTGAACCATATTTTTTCAAAATATTTTATAAAACCAAAAATTGTCAAATAAATAATTATTTATTTGACAGCAATTATTAGTAATAGGTTATATTGATACTATAATATGATGATAATATATCAGATAATATAATAATCAATATATGATAATGAGAAAATGTGATTTTAAGACAAAACTTTTATTTTAACCTTCCAAAATGGGTTCTTGATGATTACCTTGACTTATAAAAATCAAAAAAGTAATGTTTTGGTAATTAAACTAATAAAAGTTGCTGTAATATTTTTCATAAGTAGGTTTTTAAATACTTCAATATTTAGAGAAGCATTTAAAATTATTTTGTTATTTTTGAAAATCTTAAAATGTTGCTTTTAAAATGTGACTTTTAGCTTTTTTTTGTAATTTATTTGTTGATATTTTTATGACTTTATTTTTTTATAAAATTCTTTGACAATTGACAAAATTAATAATCATGCTTAAAATTAAATTTTACTAATGTGTTATAATGTAACTAATGTAATGTATGCAATCAATTGGCTTTAATAACCTAGTTAAATAACATACAAATTTAAGAGTTTTTTCTTTTCATCAGCTTCTGCTTTTTTTATTTAACTCACCTTATTATTTAAAATTTTATCAATAATTAAATTTTTCTGATTTGTAATAAATTTTTTTTTTGATTTGTTTCTACCTTTAACACAAAAAAATCAATTAAAATAAATTAATACTTTTTTAATATTCAACTAATAACTCAAAAAAAAAAAACATCATAATTAATATTACAATGTGTCTGTGTGTGTGTATATATATATATATATATATATATATATATATATATATATATATATATATATATATATATATATATATATATATATATATATATATATATATATATATATATATAACATATAAAGGTATATATGTATTTCTTTGATTTTTACAAAATATAAATCTTTATATATATATATATATATATATATATATATATATATATATATATATATATATATATATATATATATATATATATATATATATATATATAACTTTAAATGTTATATAACATCTTTGATCTTTTTTTAGAAATATTTAAAAATGTTGTGTCAGTGATTTACTTTAAAAAAAATGTTACTTGAATTTTACCATTTTCAAAATGAACAAGGATTTGAGGATTTATAAATAATACAGAAATTTTAAAAATAGTTGAATTACATTAATTCTTGTTGTATGAAAACTACTGATCTTTCCAATAGCATTCAATATGCAATCAATATTAATAATTCATTGGTAAAGGAAAAGCTATTCATTTTTTTTAAAGATTTTTTCATTATAAAGTTTCTCATGTAAGTTCTCAAATATTTTCAAATTGAATATTTGTTTACAAAATTTTGATATTTTTTTTGTATATAATTTTTTTTTGTATATAATATAGTGTATTATATAATCCATTTTTATCATTCTATTTTTGTTGATTGTTGTTTGTTTTTAGTTTTTTATGAATAAAGTTTTTTTCAATTTTTATAGTTCATCTACATAGTTTGTTATTATAGAAATAGTTTAGGTAGCAAATTTTATCATTTTATATTTTTTTAACCATAACCACAATTTATAGCTACAGACAATAAGTTTGATTAACTATTTTCAAAACTATTTTTTTTAATTTGTTCATCTTTACTTTTGATCATTTATCATAACTATTTTCTACATTTATTTTTATATTTGTATATTTATATGTAGTTATTTATATTCATAGTTTTTAAATATAATACAATTCAAATATCAAAACATGATAGCTTCATAAAAGTCATTTTTTAAAATTTAATAAATTTTTATTTAATTTTCCATTAAGAATTCAATAAATTGATTTTAAAATTGATTTTTAAATTAATTTAATTATTTTAGTTAATTTTATTATAAAACATTGCCAAAAAAAGTTGTTTAAATCATTTTTACTGTTCAATACCAATTTCGTTAATAAATGAAAAATTTATTTTATCCAATTTAAATTTGCTATATAACATTTGGAATAGTTTTTACTAAGCAAAGCATGTTGCATTTGATCTACAATGCAATAAATTTGGCTTATACAAGGTTGCAAAGGTATTATCAGCCAAGTAAATCACTTTGTGAAGTTGGTTTGTTAAAAAATAAAAGTGCAAAAAAAAAAAAAAATGAAATCAAAAACAATGAAATCTTATTTCAATGTACAATCTTTTTTTTTTTTTTTTTTTTTTTTTTTTTTTTTTTTTTTTTTTTTCAGTGTGTAATCAAAAATTAAAAAAAATGTTGACAGGGTGTTAGTCAGCCAAATGGCACAGCATATAACGCTGAATTCCGAATTGGTTTAAAAGTCCCAAAATTTGATGACTTTGAAGGAATAGGACAATTTTAGTAAAAGTACCCAATATTTTGTAAAACAATAACAATAAATATTCCCAATATCACAAAAACATGTTAAAAAATATATTCCTGGCTAACACCCTGGTTGATTGCATCTGTCTCAATGCAAAGCTTTAAAAGCAACACCAGTTGTTGCTTTTACAAAATCTAAATCAATTACAATAATCAAAGTTTGTTTTTTTGTCTATGATGTTGACTGATTCCAAGTAATAAACTTTTATTGAAAAATTTTAACATTTTTTTTATTTGACTTTTTTTCAAAAGTTAAAATAAAAAAATAGATTATCCTTTAATTTTCAAAAGGAATTAGATTAACGCGAATGCCTCTGGTTTTTTAAAAAAAGTATTAAGGCATGAAGGCCACTACAGTCGAGGCTGCTTTAGTTGTGGTTACACTACACCAAGGCCTTGAAGGCCACTACAATCAAAGAGGCTACTTTAATTGTGGCTACAACCTTCTCTTAACTCTGTTAAGAGAAGGTTGTAACATGATAGCATCATGTTGAAATATATCTTGTTGCTTTTTTTGTTTGTGGATTATTGTTATTATCTGTACTACACCTCTTTAGCTTCGGCCATGTTATCTTCAAGATCTTTAAATTGATGAAAGGTATGAGTAAAATGTAGTTACACCATTGTACCTTTCTTATTGTTTTTCATGCTGTAATTGTAAGTCTGATCCTTAGATGTAAATAAAGTTAACAACTTTGATTTTGTCAATAAAAAATTTATGCATGTCTTCTGATGTGAGGTTTCTTGGTAAAAAAAAGTCCATTTGACTGTAAGGCCAAGTTTACTTTCTAGTTGGCATATATTGTAAAAACTTTTACAATTTTTGTACAGTCTTCACAACCATCAGTGAATAAATGTAATTTGGGCAGATTACATTTAAAAACTATGTTTTTAATGTAGATATGGTTAGTTAAAATATTTTGTATACGTAGTTCATATTGTGGATATGTATACGTCATCTTAAATAAAATAGTAAGAAGTATATTTTATGTATATCTTCATCGTTTTAATAGTATATCATAAATAGATGTAAAGAATATTTTTGGATGTACAACTGAAGAAGCTTTTTAATTTTTTTAAATTTGTAATCTTGGGCTACAAGAGCATAGTTTTCTGCAAAGTCACCAATGATAATGCTTGATTGATCCATATTTTCTTGAGCCGATTAAGATAAGGTTATTGAAATTGGGCAATAAAAGACAGCTTTTCAAAGCAAAATACTAGTTGTTCAATGTAAATTAATATAAATAGTGTTGCACAATCTGTAGTTTGCTATTGCTTCTAGTTTACCTCAAAATCTTCATATTCTTGGAAATTCTCATACTAATATGTGGTTGTGGTTCTTTAACAAGACAATCAACACTGCAAGCATGCATTCTTTATTTTCTACTGATCAAACAGTTTTTGAAAGTAAATCCAGGTATAGTTCCAATTTGACTAAAATCACTTGAAACATAAAAGGTTTTTTAAAAATTTTTTTAAGGTATTGGACAAAACATTTGCAACTAACATTGAACAATGCTAAAAAGTGTTCCTAATTTTATATGTCTTAAAAGCAAAACGAACTATACTATCACAGAAAATAGTTCAAGAGTCTGGAGTCATAGCATGCCATGACATGAGCAATCAGCTGACTAGTGACAGCACACAGGCAGAATTTTGTTGACAAGTGCCATTTTGCAGCAAACAAAACAAGTGCAACTTTTTTGGTTTAACTCAAGAATCCTCTCTAGAAGTGGCGTTCCACCACTTCTAGAGAGGATTCTATGATCGTCAGATCCATCAAGAAGGATCCCTTGATATCATCAGTCGAGAGCTGCTCAAGAATAAAAACAATTAGAGCTGCCTGTATTGGACTGAACAATCAGACGACGTGCTGTTGAAGCCGGATTGTTTTCTCAACGCCCTGCAAAGAAACAGCTGATTTCAGCAAAGAACCAGAAGAAAAGACTCCTGTTTGCTACATCTCATATTGACTGGAATGTGCAGAAATGGCCAACTGTTCTGTTCAGTGATGAATCGAAGTTCAACATCATTGGGAGCGATGGCATTTGCAGTGTACGTCGACCGGCCAAAAAACTTCTCGATTTACGTTACAGCCAAAAGACCGTAAAGCATGATGGAGGCAATGTAATGGTTTGGGGGTGTTTTTCTGCTAACAGTCTAGGTCTAATACATCGAATCGATGGAATAATGGACCGTTTCATGTATAAAAATATCCTGAAAGATGTTATGTTACCTCATGCTGAATGAAATATGTCAATAAAATGGATTTTTCAGCAAAACAACGATCCGAAACACACTGCAAAAGTAGTCAAGCAGTGGTTTTAAGACAACCACCTATCGGTGATGGATTGGCCGTCTCAATCTTCGGATCTCAACCCTATTGAGAACCTGTGTGAGATTGTCAACTGCAGAATTAATCCTGAAGGTGTTTGTAATAAGGATCAACTGTTTGAACAAATCCAAAAGGCCTGGGCAGCGATTCCACAAAGTTTCATTGATCACCTGATCGAATTTATGCCTCGAAGATGCAAGGCTGTGATCGACAACAAAGGATTCGCCACGAAATATTGATTGCAAAATACAGCTTATATTTTGTGGAGTTACATTTAATACATTTTGTGGAGTTGCACTTGTTTTTTCCAGAAGGAAATCAACTTTTTTTAATACTTTTGATTAATTTATTAATTTTTGTGTTCAAATAATGGACTTTGTGATGAATAAAACTTGAAGAACGTTGTCTCTAAACAGTTACATAGTTATTTCTCTAAATTAAAAAAATGCTTTATATAAAGCATTTTTTTAATTTAGAGAAATAACTATGTACTTACACTTTTATATAAAGAAACTAAATTAGCATTATTTGGTTGCACTTGTTTTGTCCAATACTGTATATCTTTAGGTAAAACCTTTATACAATAAATAGTTTACTATCCTTTTTTAGTAATCAAATCAGTCTAGCTATCTTTGCATTGTATTCTGAAAATGCAAAGTTATTTTATACTTCAACTTTGGGGTGTGAGTGTAAGAAGTTCAACTAGAGTTTTTTTTTTTTTTTTTTTTTTTGGGAACACAGAATTTTTTTTTTTGTCAAGCCCATAATTTCATCCAAGTTTTTAACCTTTTTATGCCATTTGTTTACCATCTCACTTTTTTGAGGAAACATTGCCATTATTTTTTTCTTTCTTTTTTTAATCTTTTTTTTTTTTTTTTATCATAAGTTTATTTTCAGAGTATTATTTTTTAAAAGTTTCTAAATAATTTTGTTAAGCTAAATATATTTTAAAAAAATATATATTTTTTTAATTCATTTATTAATTTTTTTGAGGATGTACAAGTGTACATACATCATCAAAAAGTTTTTGGGCTACCATGTAGTAGTCACATTGTTTTACAGATTTTTGATAATATATGCCCCTAACAAAACCATCAGCTGATAAACCTTCAATGCTGTTGTTTTAAAATAAATTATTTATTGTATGTTCACTTTACTGATATATATTTATTAGTATTAATTTTTATTAATTAAACTTATTTAAAAAAATTAATAACATTGAATATCTTATTAGTAATGTATAATAGTAAAATAATTTCACTGGAAGATAAGACAACTAAAATTTTTGAAAAGAAAAAGTAATAGTAATTAATTGAAAATTATTTCAGTCTAAATAGGTGTACTTTTTGTTTATTTTTTTGTTTGTTTTTATTAACAGCAGGCTTTCACAGGAAGACGTGCAATTTCACGTCTTTATATGACCACGCAAGTTACATTTTGCTATGACAGTTTGACCGCAGCTAATTCAACAAACATTTTAGAAACGCGCTAAGTAAAAAAAAATTTAAAAAAAGTGAAATTAATTACATCAAAACTTTTTAACAAATGTTTTTATATTAGCGAAACGATTTTAAATAAAGTAACAATTTACTGAAAAAAAGTTTTGTTTTTTAAATATAATTGACAATTGTATATATTTTTTTACTTTAAAACATATAAATTGTTTAAGTGTTTATTTCTAAAATAAATCTTATTAAAAAATAAAAAATTGTTTTGTTTTTATAAACCATGACATTCTACGACTACAAAAGTCTCTTTAACGAATTTAAATATAAGAATGATTAAAGTGAATGATTAATGCATTTAAAAAGATAAACAAAATTTCGTTTAAAAAAAAATTTTTACAATTTAATCCGTTACAATTTAATAAGTTTGATCTTAAATGCTTTTATATTATCGAAACGCTTTTAATGAAGTATAAAAAAAACACTTCTAATTAATTAAAAAAAAAACTATTTATAAAATGTTTTTTTATTTTATTTATATAACTATGTATTTTTTATGAGAAATATTTAACTTTTGAACATATTAAACAAATAAAAAATATATAAAAATGTGAAACAAAGATTGAAAAGGTTTTTTAATGTATAAATTAAATAGACTAAGCATTTTAGTTTGATGAGTTTTGTTTTAGTTGCGTTATATTTATATATATATATATATATATATATATATATATATATATATATATATATATATATATATTGTGTTTTTGCTTTAACTAAGTATTTTTATTTTCTCTTTCGTTAATGTTAATTATTTTTTCAAAATTTTTTTTCAGATAAGTTTTTGTAAGTTTTTGTAGCGCAGTTTTAAATTTTAAAAATATGCTGTGGTCAAATCGTTAAAACATTTTTTTTTTTGCGTGGTCATATAAAGACATGAAATCGCATGTCTTCCTGTGAAAGCCTGATTAACAGTATAATAATAGAGTTAAAATAAATTAGAATATTGTTTTTTTTAGTTAAAGTATCAATGTTGTAAATGGTGCTGCATCATATACAAACATCATAAAGTATGTTTTATTTTGTTTTCATGATTATTGTTCTTATTCTAACAATGTGATTGTTATTGTTGGATAATGTTTTTTTTTTGTTTTTTTTTGTGTGCATTTAAGCATTCTTTTAAATTTGTCTAATCTAAAGTTCTATGTAGATAGTATAGCAGCGCTTGAAATAACAGTCGGTTGAGGATTAAAAAAAAAATTATCACCCAACAGTTAGTCTAGAATTGTAAAAATCTAAACTAATATCACCCATAATCAATTCTGGCAAATTGATTTTGGGTGATTTTTTTTTCCAAAATTTTAATTGGTGATAACTGCAAGTCAAATATTTATAATAAAATTTAAGTTATTATTTTCACAAAAATTTGAATTATCAAAAATATTGAGTGCTTTTGATTAGTCTCAACAGTATTGAGAATTTTAAGCAGTTTTAAAGCGACCACCAAGTCCCGAGACATGTTGTGTTATATTAAAGAGAATGTTTAAAAAAAAAAACGTCTGAGCAAATTTTTTTTTGATTAAAACTAATTAATAAATGTATACCAAGAAAAACAAATCTTGTTGTTTTAGTCAAAGCTTGTCTTCTCCATTTTCTGCGGTATTTGGAGTCTTAAAAATAAACGCGATTTTCCAGGCACATTATACAGACTTGATTATTTATTCAAATGCGTTTTATTCATAGAAGTTTTAGTACATGATGTCATTGTAAACATTCTTAAAATTCTTTAAAAATTTTACTATTAAGTTTTACTAAAATAGCTAACTATAGTTAGTTATTTTTAGTGTTGTGACCAAAACTAAAAATTGTAACTAGCTAAACTAAAAATACTGTAACTAAAATTAGTCGACTAACTTTTTAGTTAACTAAAATCAGTCAACAAACTTTTTAGTTAACTAAAATTACCCAACTAACTTTTTAGTTAACTAAAATTAGTCAACTAACTTTTTAGTTAACTAAAATTACCCGACTAACATTTTAGTTAACTTAAATTACCCGACTAACTTTTTAGTTAACTAAAATTACCCGACTAACTTTCTAGTTAACTAAAATTACCCGACTAACTTTTTAGCTAACTAAAATTACCCGACTAATTTTTTAGTTAACTAAAATTACCCAACTAACTTTTTAGTATAACTAAAATTAACCGACTAACTTCTTAGTTAACTAAAATTAACTGACTAAGTTTTTAGTCTAATTAAAGAAATTTATAAATATATAACATAAATAGTTTGGGTTCATGATATCATTTCTATTAGAATTTTTGAACAAGTTTGCTAATGCATGATCTTTTTACTGCATAATACCGCAAAAATAAAAAAATTTCAAAATAATTTTTTTTTTTATTTTCAGTGCCAAAGGTTTAACGAGATACTTTAGGAAAATATTTCATAAAAACTCCAAAAACTAAACAAGGTAAAACACAAATATCTTTAGAATTGAACAAGCTACCAAGGCCACTGCAAAGAAGTCAGGGGATGGGGTGGTTGGTTTTAAGTGTGATATCCCACCAATCAACATTTAGCCTATTTAGTAAGCCAATTTGTAAATCAATGATACGGTAGTGGTGTAGTATTAAAACGCTCGCTTCATAAGCAAAAGGTTCTAAATTCAACCCCACCAAGTCCCTAGTAATACCGCACTGAACTTGTTTCTCCACGCAGCGGCCTTGTTCGCCAAGGTTGGTGTTTTGGAGTTATAGAGTCGAGAGGGTTATAACCACTATTAAGTAGCCTCCTCATCTGTAGAGGCCTTCTCGGCCTTCAGGAGGTGAATGAAAAAAAAATATTTGACTCTTTTAGATAAGTAAGTCGGCAAATATAGTTTTGCAGAACAGTCAGTTGGTAAATTTACGTGTTACCTACTTGTGCCGGTCTAGTAAATTTCAGAGGTAGTTCAAACAAATTTTAAAATGAAATATCTGAATGCGATACATTTACAAAATTTACTTAAGTTGTTTTTACAATTGCTTCATTTAAATTACTCCCTAATTATGACTCTTACGGAAAAATGATTTTTATAAACCTTTTTATGTGTTGGTTGTGAAGTTAGATGAAAATTAGATCGCCAAGTATTTTTCATTTGCCATTTGAGTTTTTCAGGTTTTAAATTAAAGTGAATTATATTATGAAAAAAAAAACTATGTGAACCTATTATATTTTTTTTTTTTTTTTTTTTTTTTTTTTTTTTTTTTAATTCGCCTCCTCAAGGCCGAGAAGGCCACTACAGACGAGGAGGCTACTTATTTGTGGTTATAACCCTCTCTCAACTCTATAACTCCGAAACACGAACCTTGACGAACAAGGCCGCTGCGCGGAGAAACAAGTTGAGCGCGGTACTACCAGGGACGTGGTGGGGATCGAACTCGGAACCACTCGTTTATGAAGCGAGCGCTCTACCACTACACCACTACCGCATATAAACCTATTACCTATTATATAATAAATAAATAATGTTTTTTCAAAGTTATGTTATGAGCATATGAGCATATTAGGATTTTCTTTATTTGACACCTCCAATAATTTTTCGATGTAACAGTTTGTAAATTATTCAGTTCTACACTCTTAAAATGCAGATAATTATTGTGACGACTATTAAATTGTAAAATTAAGGCAATCAAATTTTTTCATTATAATTATATTGTTTAATTGAATATATATATCTTGTTAAATTATTCTCTTTTTTTTTTTAAATGTTGCTAAACATAATATTAACTAAATATGTATTTGGTACAGTAGCGGACTACCCATTAGGGAAACTAGGCAGATCCCTAAGACTCGCCTAGAAAAAAGACCAGTATTTTAAATCTGAAATAAATATGTAAAATATACTGTATTAAAGTTAATAAAATGAAACTGATTTTGTTTAATTAAAGTTGTTTAATAATTAATTTAAACAGTAAATACAATTTGAAAACATTGAATTAAAGTTTTTTTGGTAAAGATCTGCATAATTTTATAGGTCATGACATGACATTTTGGTGGAGAAGGAGGGCAAAACTACCAAAAAAAGTGAATAATAAAAAAGTTTTTTAAAAAAACACCTCAGTTGTCGTCAAATTAGACCCTCTAATCATCTCTGCCTATGGTCTGAAATGCTATAATCCATTATTGGTTATGTATAAAATATCAGCTGTTAATAACTGCAAGCTAATCTGATAAAAAACTAAATATTATTTTATTCATAAATAGAACATATGGGGCAATACATGTACAAACAATCATTTTTAATAACCTATTTTTCACAAATTGTATTTCGTTTTTAAAATTTCTCAAATTTTAAATTAATTGTCATAATAAAAATTTAATTGTCAAATTAAAATTGAGTTGTCATAAATTTATTAAATTTCTAAAAACAAAATTTTTTATGGAATGTCTTAATTGAAACCTCAAAGTGGTTTCCTGCTCTATACTAGATAAATAGTTCTGAACAATATCTATCAACATTTTTTGAGAAATTCAATTTTTAAATTATGTCTAACAATAATACGTTTCTCCTATTGAAAATACCACTTCAACATCCGATTTAAAGGAAAGGTTTGAAAAAAGAAAGATTATAGATGAACAAAACCCTGCGAATTATAACGATGGCGAAACCAGTTTAATTTTTTCATCAAGTCAAAAAGAAATTGAAATTGATACACAGTTCATTGAGGAAGCAACTAAAACTACATACGAATATTACTCAATTGAGGAGGAAACATCGAAATGGGTTTGCAATGAATGTAATTGTAACAGACCTAAAAAGTACTCAAGTAAAACATCAAAAAGTATACTAGATTACCATCTTGAACATGATCACGAAATAATAACCCCAAAGAAAAAACGAAACATGAGTGGTTTGTCAAAAGAAAATAGCGATAAGATTGATAGAAATCTTTTAATATTCATTATTGCCTGTTGTCTTCCATTTATGTTGGTAGAAAGTAATGCCTTTAAAGATTTTATTTTTTGCTTAAATCCAAAGTACAAAGTGCCTAGCTGAAAAAAATTAAGATCTCTTTTAACAGATTTATATCGAGAAAAAATTGAACTTTTGAAGTCTAAATTATTGTCAATTAAATTTTTATCTATTACTACCGATGGGTGGACGTCCTGTCAAAACTATAGTTACATATCTGCAACTGCACATTTTATTTCTGAAAAAAACAATTTCATTAGTTTTTGTTTGGGATTTGCATATCTTAATAGGCGCCATGATGCAGATAATTTGAAAGACGCTTTGCTGAAAATTTTAGAAAAATTCAAGATAGATGATAAAATAATGAGTGTAGTATCCGACAATGCCACTAACGTACGTAACTGTCTCAATTCTTTAAAAGTTAGTTTAAACATTCAACCAATACGATGTATGGGGCATGTTTTGCAATTAGTAGTAAAAAATGTCATAGATTTAGTTTAAGAAAGTGAAAACGATAGCTCGTCGAAATTCTTTTTTATTGCAAAAACATTAACAAAGTGCAGAAAAATTGTTACATCTTTCAATCATTCTTCTCAACTTAATGATTTATTAGAAGAAAGTCAAATACAACAAGGTGTCGAAAGAAATCACATCCTTCATTTGATTCAAGATGTGAAAACTCGTTGGCACTCCACGTTTCTTATGGCTGAAAGAATGCTTAAACTTCACTCCTACGTAAAAGATATTTTTAATTCAAAGCAACAATACAAAGATATGAGAAAAAATTTGCTCGATGAAGATGAAATAGTTAACTTAAAAGAAACGGTAAAAGCATTAGTAAGCTTTAATCAAGTAAGTGTTTTACTTTCGGGCGATGCTTATGCAACATGTTCTTTAATTATTCCAAGTATAAAATACCTTGAGAAGCAACTAAATAAGAAAAAAAGTGATACCCCTCCTTTAATTGTGGTATTAAAATTGCATTTATTAGATTCTTTACAAACATACAAAGATTCATACAAATTAGAAAATAATTCGTTTTTATTATGTGCTACTTTTTTGGATCCAAATTATAAAAGTTTTCAATTCTTTGAAAAGTACGAAAAAAAAA